CCCCCCCCCCCCTCCCACCCGCCCCACTGGATAGGATGCAAACCCTCTTCCCCACCCCCAAATGGGACGCAAGTTCAGTGCAAGTTGTCTTCTCACATTGTGTCAGGCTGTTCTGACAGAATGGGTTTAATTTCCTGGTTGAAGAGAAATTGTGACAGTGCAGTGACTTGTCCAATAACACACATGTAACTGTAATGCAAAGACCCTTGAAACTGCTTAAACCTTGGGCACTCGATGCAGAGTCCAGCTGTGACCTTGTTTTAAGTTTTGGTCCGTCAGTCTTCGTGGTCATGCATTTTTTGTGACAACTTGTGTTTTAAAGCAGATTGCACAAATGATTGTAAAATGTTGTAGCTTGTTTATTCTGTACCCTTTCCTCAATGTCTCATGCTGCAGTAGATGAGGAATACATTTCAACATATTTTTATCTAATTTTTTTTCACATTGAATGCCTCATGCTAATGTAATCAGAATAATCTATTGTGATTTCTCCAGGCATTTTCAATGAATTGTCAGGTTTAAGGTGTGACAGCCAGACCTAAATGTCCCACCAAATGCTTGAGATAAAATAATCCACACACAACCCAGCACTCTATCGTGCCATCTGAATATTACTTGCAAACTAATTCATTGTCATTCAACCATTTCAAATTGCATTAGCCACTTATCTACCAAACTATAGTTCACATAAACTACGCATACCATCATTTGAGCTCTCCATGTGGTTAGGACAGCGTTTGACAATGTCGTGCAAGTTGGTGGAACCTTTGAAAACAGCAACTGCTCTCAAGTACGTTCCCGGGGGTGGTGGCGAGTTCGTCTTGAACTTGATTGGGCAGAAACTGGCCAGATTGACGTACAGTTTCTTGCACACATCAGAGTACGTCCAGGTGGCAGACTTGGAAGCTGACTCGGTGAGAGGGCCAAAAGAGATCTGGAAGTTCCAATTTCCAGGATATTCTGTGGTACTTGGAATTGTTGGTAGACGAGCGTGGATAGGCATGTATGATGACGTCAGGCCAGGAGGAGGGGTTGATGGTCCTGAAGTTGAGGCCTCGCTGTAGTTGCTGCACTGTAAACAAAATTAACGCTATCCTCACTTCATGCAACCTTAAGTCAGCAAACAGACACTGGTTACTTCTCTTAAGCAGAAGTTCACAACGGAAATTGCAGAGTACATATTAACAAAAAGATAGCAACAAAATGATTCAAACTTCTGTACCGTGGTTGATTTTTTTTTCAAATTTTTCAAATGCATTTGTTCTGTATTTGTTTTCTTGTCTCACATTCTTTACCATGACAGAAGCAATAAAAAATGTCACCAAGTTTCCAACTAAAAACAAATTTAAACTACAACAAACATCCAGCAATAAAGAGAGAACAACAATGTTTACTTTATCATAGTAGTAGAGAAAATGGATGGAACTGAACAAGGTTACAGGGAATTAGGGAGGAGTTATAACTTAATTGCTGATGCTACTAAGAGACTACCGCATGCTGACCATGTAAAGAAGTGTACAGAAACCCGACAATTGAATTCACTTACAGTTTCATAAGGTGTGGTGCTGATAGGAGAGATGCATGTGGAGGAGCTCCTATGACCTGCGACAGGGCCGGGGGAGTACGGGATGTTGTGGGGGTAGGCAGGGGGCTGGGGGCTGCTGGATGTCGGCAGGTCATGGACTGCCTGTGAGCTTGAGATGTACTGTTATGGAGAAAATTAAAATACCGCTCATTACACGTCGGTCATGAAACATTTCGAGAGTATTATTACTATGTACAAGTTTCATTGAACATGCCGAGAAGTATGAGTATTGTTTTCTACTTGAGATAGGAAAACTGGTGTTTTAGTTTAAGAGGCATTGGCCCACACTTTTTCTGCATAATTCCGTACCCTCCTACGCAATTCCGTCCATCTTCCCTACATATTATTGAGAACCCTGAAAAATGTAACTATGTTAATTCATTTACTGTCAAAATTAAAGTTACGGGACAATGTACAGGATGATGCAATCTTAAAGGAATCAACAATATTTAATTAACATTCTGCTTGAGCAAATACCTAGGGATTGCCAAGGTTTTTCTGAGCTTTTTTTAAACAAATAAGGTATGTAAAGGATTTACAATGAAAATCAAGGCTGTTCAGTTATCAACTAGCAGTTCTGGTCATCACTTGAGAAGGCAATGCAAGACATCTTTTTACTAAATTAAAAGTGGATTAACTCAGTTGAATCAAAAAACTTTTCAGTTTAGCGACTTTTTAAGACCAAAAACCAAGGCTCTCAGGATATGTGTTTGAGAGAATATACACTTAAGACATTTTCCTGAACTACACAACAAATCTACAGGGCCAGAGTCCAAACAAAACCAAAACATGAAAGGATACATGTATCTAGTTCGTGCAGACTAAGACAAAAGTAACACAATACAAGCACACACTAAACAGCAAATATTTTTTTTTTCCTTGGCTTACATGGTACTGCGGTCCATAACCTCTCATGTCACTCTGTACCCCAAAACTGAGGTCCTGGGAATCTGCAAAAATCACAAGAAAAGATTAACACTCGCTTAAAAATCATCAAGCTTTCCTTGTAAGAAAGCTATTGCGTAGCTAGCCACCTACTCTCAATTTTAATCTCTCGATCAAAAATCCTTTTAAAATCCATCTTCACAGCCAGACTTTAACCTCAGGGTATCAACAGTATAATTTGGATGCAGTTTTACAACAGTGTTGTGACTGCTTTCACATCCACAGCACTTTCCAGAGGGACTGATGCTTGCTCTATTTTCCTTGGACTGAAAATGCCTTCCATGTAAACAATACACTTGAGGAAAGGATTACTATTCACAACTGTCAAAAAGGGGTTAGAGGTTGGCATTGTTTTAGTTTTTTCTTTCTGAGTCAGTGCCACAATATCAAGTTACTAGCCAATCTGTAATCAAATACAAACAAAACATTACAAAGTGTATCTTTTTACACCTTAACAACATTAGGGCATGCACAGGGCACATTTCTATCAATTTCTGGGATTACATAAGCAGAGAAACCTAATTGTTGTGCGTAATACAGCTACAAAGTCAACTCCATATTTGATGTAAAATCTTCCTCATGTATGACAAAGCACAAATATCTTTGCAAATGCAACAACACCGGCTTAATGGTGTAATGCCTGAACTTTCAAATAAGACAGCATAATCTGACAAATACACTACATCAACAAATTATGATTGTAGGTTAGCTCACCTTCCCCTCCTCCCATTGACAGAAAGCTGAAAATCAAGGAAGCAAAAAAACATGAGTTTTTCTAGTCACTCAAACAATCAACAAACTCAGTATGATTTTAAACTAAAGAGAACAATATGAACTTTAGCCTGCTCCCAGCTGGATTTTCAATATGCATTACAACGCTCCTTTAAATAGGTAATTTGCTGAACATGACCCCTATGTTAACGTTTGTCAATAGCCTTTTGTAATTCTTACAAACGTCTTAACTGCACCGGTAAATTCTGCAAGAAGCATTCTACAACAAATAAGCAGCTACATTAAACTGGCATACTGTAAGCGGTACTTGTGTCGCCTGACACCACGTTAAGTAATAAACTATCATGAAAAAGCCACAGAATCAACCACAATTGGTAATCTCAGTCTATTGCACACACACACCGTACCTAGGGGTAAAATCTTTTTCCCACGACATCTTTGGCAAAACGCTTTCTAGAGTACACATCTTAGCTTGGCAAAAGAAAACTACAGTACTGTAAACTGCTGTAAACTGCAGCTAACCTGAAAATTTGCTTTACCAAGTTATCTGAAAGTGCAATTCAAGCTGACTAAGCTAAAAGCTGAGCGGCTTGTCATTATACGTCTTCCACTCCAATCAGGAAATTTTGCCAAGTATTGTTCGTGTGCCAAAATTAGCACTCCATAAACAAAGCATTGTTCCAGTCACCAATGATATTGATACAATAACAAAGCAGACAAAAGTGTCACTTGATATGTGTGGGTTTGAAGTGCAACAACAAATAAACCTTTGATCTAAAGAATACTGGAAGATTTCAACACCAACTGTCACTCTGTTATCTCTAGGTCTCTTGTGTAATACCACTTATTATTAGACTGATCAGACAACAAAAGATATGTGATCTCCTTTGCAACAGGTGATATTGGGATTTCCCTTTACATTGAATTTGGCCAAAATATCTTCCAAAAGAAATCTGATATTCTACTCTTCCACAATTTACTCACACTGTCTGAATATTCATCACTTTTTAAAACACAAGTGCATAACATTAATAGAGTTAATAAAAAGATGGGCAAAAAATTTGCATTTTTAAAGGAACACTTATGACAAAGCGTTCCATGTTTTAAACATTTATCTTCATTAACTATGGTTACGTTGATAAACTTCATGTTTCGTAACTTTTTGTGAAAAACAACATTACATTGTCTTGTATGGGAACTCTGGTTGTTTACATCACAACTTCACAGGACACTAGCATTGTTTAAGTGTTTACTTTCAAAACACTTGCACAGAATTTGTCGGCAAATCAGCGCTAAATCCTTCAGTTGACAAATTTCTTTATCTTGTCACCAACCTGATTATTTCTCCCTTAAAGACCTTGTCTTGAGTTCTTTAACTTAAAAATAAATGCACCATGTAGAATTCTTACCAGAAAGTTCTCATGAACTGACCCAAGAAATATCCAGCTATTACCAGGTGAAGGAAATTGCTGACCTTGTCTTTATGGTCGCGGGCAAGCCAGCACTGGCTTGAAATTTGACAAATATTGTTCTGTGCAGTGAATGTCAAAGTCAGCACTAAATTAAGCCTCAGGACAAATTGTCAAAAAACTCTGATTTTTTGCCAAAGTTTCTCGCAAGATCAAAACTTCTTTCTTGAGATAGAATTACCAGCTCAACTACATCTGCATCACTTAATGGCCTGCA